AGTTGAGTAAACTGCTCCCAAGTCAAAGCTAGCAATCCAGCTAGTCTATCCAAACAATAATCTCTCCACCAAGACTTGGCGGATCCAGACAAGCGAAAAGTAGCAAAATCAACCCCATTGGTATCAACTATCCCCATGTTCCTGAGAACCTCATGACGGATGTCCAGAAAATCCTGGGGATCCTCAGAAGATGCACCGCTGAAAGTAGTAGTGAAGAGCTTGGTGAAACCTATCCAACCTCCACGAAGCCTCCGAAGACATAGCTAATCTATTATCGATCTACTGCTATTCGGCTGAAGAAGAGGTACATGACCTCGCTATTCGCGAAAGGACAAGAGTAGAGGTATAAACTTAGCATTGAGAGAACAAAATTGCACAACAAGAAAGAATGAATGTGAAGTTTTTCATAACTCTGTAGCCTTTGGGGGATAAATACAGACGTTTCCGTACTGATCCCTCATACTCTACTAAGCTTGTCTGTGAATTGTGAGACCCATGTAGCCTAGAGTTCTGATACCAACTTGTCACGACCCGGATTTCCCACCCTCGGGAGTCATGATGGAGCCTACTAATGTGAGCTAGGCAAGCCAACTATTGAACCATCCACCTTTTTACCAATTTTATTCTCTTTAACAATTACGAAGAAATAACATTTAAACAACGAAATTTAACATAAGCGGAAGAAAACAATAAGCCATCTGAACATGAATATCTATTACAACTGTTTGATGTCTCGACTACCCAGAACTGGTGTCACAGTTTCATAAACGGTCTAAGAATACTACAAATAAAGGTCTAAAAGAATTTAATACAACACTGTCTCTAGAAATACATGTAAGAAACAAGAAGGTAAATAGAAAAGAGACGCCACGGCCTACGGACGTCTACAGGGCTACCTCGGGTCGCCTGATGAACAAGAGTCAGCAATCTCACTGCGGTCAGAAGTCTACAACACTAGGGTCTGCACAAAATAGTGCAGAGTGTAGTATCAGCACAACCGACCCCATGTGCTGGTAAGTGCTTAGCCTAACCTCGACGAAGTAGTGACGAGGCTAGGACCAGACTACAAAATAAACCTGTGCAGTTATATAATATACAACGGAAAGTAAAGTAGGAATAAGCAAGTAAAGATGGGAGGGGGAAACATGTTGTGGGGGGTATACCAGTATTAACAGTAAATGCATAGTAATAGTCTAAGGGCAACTTAGAGTCCACAGCAAAACAAAAGAAACTAATATCAAAACTAAGCACACTTGTATCAATAATTGTTGCGGCGCGCAACCTGACCCCAATATATATCAACACTGTTGCGGCGTGTTACCCGATCCATATCATTTGTCATTGTTGTGGCGTGCAACCTGATCCACATATATCATTGTTGTGGCATGCAACCTGATCCACCCATAACATTGTTGCAGAATGCAACCCGATCCAATATAACATTGTTGCGGCGTGCAACCCGATCCACATATAATATTGTTGCGGTATGCAACCCGATCCACATATAATATTGTTGCGGCGTGCAACCCGATCCACATATAATATTGTTGTGACGTGCAACCTGATCCAATATAAAATCAACAACAATCATAACAAGAGTCCCAACGAGGGATCAATAAGATCTACACTATCCCGACAAAGGATTCGACAACATAAGTAATTACGTCCCGGCAAGGGAGAAACAACTATAACCAAACTTGTTACAAGATCTAACTACCTCAGCTATAACCAAACTTGTTGCCCCGAGAATAACCATAATCCTTACCCTACACAAAGAGTTATCAACCTAAGCATCTGTAATATCAATTAAGAATACAATGCAAGGGAACCACAACTCAATAATAGCCCGACAAGGGGGCAACATAATGATCTCTTCTCTTTCTCACTTTTACTTTACAATTCACTTCACAACTCGAGCCAATGCTCTAGAGGTTCAATTATCACTTATATTTTCACAATTCGTTATACAACTGGAGCCAACGCTCCTCAATGCTCATAGGTCACAATTCCTTCCACAACTTTACACAACAAATGGAAATCCTCACGAAGACATGAATAATACAACGAAGTCATGAAAATCACAATATTAGACTCACGGTCATGCTCGACACCAACGTAGAGATACTCGTTACCATGCATATACGTCGTACTCAATAAGAAACAAATAGAAAATAGGACACAACTCTTGATCCCTCAAGCTAAAGTTAGACCAAACACTTAACTCGAACTTCCATGGCCAACTAAAGCCTCAAACACCGCTTTTCCTTTCGAACTCGGCTCCAAATCAATTGTATCTAGACATAATTGACTTAATAACATCAATAAACGCTAAACAATCCAATTTCAATGCTTAATTATAGTTTTCTAATCATTCTTCCCAAAAATACAAAAATTGACCCTGGGCTCGCTTGGTCAAAACATGAGGTTCGGACCAACACCCGATCACCCACGAGCTCGAATATATAATTTATTTTGAAATTCACCCCAAAATGAGGTCAAATTCCCAAATAATAAATAAAGCCCTACCTCTACCCAAATCCCTAATTTTCTACCCTTAATCACATGTTTTAGATCTAGAAATCTAGTGGATGTTGATAAAATAGAAGAAAACAAGTCAAAGATTACTTACCCAAGAGGTTATGGTGAAGAAGTTTTTTAAAAATCGCCCAAGAGGTGTGGAGAAGAAGAAGTTTGTGAAAAATGGGTTTAATCCCGTAATGCATTATGTTTTTGGACTTTTAATATAACAGGGCGGATTTGGTCATCGCGTTCGCGATGAGTTAGGTCTGACAGACCTTCGCGTTCGCGGAGAAGTAACTCCTCGAGCCTTCGTGTTCGCGTCCAGGTGGTTGCGTCTCGTAGGTATAAGTTTCCCTCCCCCCTGACCAGGCCATAAGCCTTCGCGTTCGCGATACCAGGCACGCGTTCGCGAAGGGAAAACCCCCCAAAGCTTCGCGTTCACGACATGGGTCTCGCGTTCGCGTAGAAGGAATTTTTCTTCAGCACAATTAACTCATCACGTTCGCTAGGGTCCTCCCGCGAACGCGAAGAAGGAAATACCAGAATACTAGCAACTGAAAACCTGCAACTTTTTAAGAGTTTAAAACCTTCCGAAACTCACCCGAGCCCTCGGGGCTACAAACCAAACATACGTACTAACTAAAAAATATCATATGAACTTATCCGTGCGATCAAATCGCCAAAATAACATCATTAACATCGAATTAAACCTAAAAATAAAAGAATTATTTCAAAACTTCTTAAAACACCAAATTTGCATTTAAATTTCGAATCACGTCAAATGACATTCGTTTCTCACCAAATTTCACAGGATCATCTTAAATCATATATAAGACCTGTATCGGGCACCGAAACCAAAATATGGGCCCGATACCCTTGAGTTTTAATCAAAATTTATTTCCAAATCCTTTAAACAATTTCATAAAACAATTTTTTTTAAAAATTCATTTCTCGGGCTTGGGATCTCGGAATTCGATTCCGGGCATACGATCAAGTCCCATATTTTCCTACAGACCCTCCGGGACCGTCAAATTACGGGTCCGGATCCGTTTACCCAAAACGTTGACCGAAGTCAAATTAATTCATTTTATAGTCAAAATTTATTATTTTTCATCAGATTTTCATATTTAGGCATTCCGGCTACGCGCCCGGACTGTGCACATAAATCAAGGTGATGTTAAATGAAGTTTTCAAGGTCTCGAAACATAGAACAGTTTGATACTGTTGTGTTTACATGATAACTTCTCTTTGTGCCATTTGCTAGGAATTGGAGGAATAACTGGTGTAGAAGAAGCTATATAATGTGTTTTGATCGAACAATTTCTCAATTTTCTTTTGCTTCTTTCTCCTTAATTAAGCAATTTCAGTTTCACCTTTCTTTCTCCCCATCACTATGCGTTTCCCAAATTTTAATGATACTATCCCTTCTTCTCCTATATTCCACATAGAAGCACTAAGAACGCGGAATAGTAAACAATGTTAGAAAATTTTGTTTTAGAAAACTTAAAAAATGTTCTTTGTTAACTAATGAAATACCTAAGGATATAATTAGTAAAATTACTAGGAAAGAAATTTAATATAGGATTAAGAAAAAAATATGATGGAATATTTTATCTTTTCTATTTTATTTTATTTTTTGTTTTTTACCCTCATTTAATTTTACTTTATTTTAGAAATCTCAAAATGTCGCCATATACAAATACTAACAAATTTTCACCACTACTTGTAATAATTAGTATTATTGATGAAAAGCATTTAAATATAGGGTTTGGTGATGGGTTTAAAATATCATATCATCAGGAGAAGCAAAAAAGAAGAAAGGAAGCCAGGGTTAGAAGTTCTGATTAAAAACTATGGCCAATTTATCTATAATGTATAAAATAATATAAAGCAGGGACTTATACGTCTGAGGTGGCACATCTCATTGCACAGGATTTCCATTTATCTTTTTCCTCCAATTTTTAGATTTTCCTCCAATTTTCTTCACTTACCTCATTAACCAACAAAACCTAAAAGTCACAAAAGCGCAACGTTTCACTTATTCTAGAAACCGAACCGTTTCGTTACCCTTCAATTGAGAATTCAGGCTTTATATATTAACGCCTTTCGTGTCTTCTTCCACCGTTCGTTCAAAACTATAGTTCCTGACTGCTGAAAAATGCATCTGATCGACGATTACCTATGTGGAAGGTGTGATCTCCTGACGAACATAACAAACAACCACCAAAGTGAAAAGTAATTTCCATGTAGAAATCACGCATTCTACAGAGTTAATCGCGTTTAGATATTTCTTAGTTCTTTTTTCCTATTGTAATCCTTTGCCCTCTATTTTGGTGATTTTTATGAATGATTTAGTTAATCTTTTTGGTTTTGGTCAATTTTGTAAATGACTAAGTGACCATTTTTTGGAGTTCTCTAAGTTCTTTCACAACTTCAATGACAAAAGTACGTTGTGGTGATTCCTAATCGTTCTCTTCCAGATTTTAACTTTTTGGATGCTGGAAATTGGTCGCTGCAAGTATGTAACTAAAGCTCTTGGGATCTGCCTCTGCCGTTTAAGGGGAACGCCAACAAATTCAACTTTGCTGCTAAAAGGTATGTTTTTTTTTATTTCGATCATACTGGAAGATCTTATATTGTTAAGTTTTGTCATCAATATTCTAAAGATTATTATATTACCAATATATTAACCATTGAAAGTGCCTGAATTTGCAATGGATGAACACCATATAATTTACAAAATTTAGAAGGAATATTTAGAATGAACATTGAGAAGGAACATTTAGTTTGCATAATTTATAAGGAATCAAAAATAATATCTTACTTGTATGTGCTACACATTATTGACATATTTGGTCTTTGGGTATTTCTTGCTATTTATGAATTATACACCATCAACAGTGATAATCATGTGCTCTTCTGAGTTGTGGTAATTAAAAAGAAATGAATTGTACATCCATTTCGCTTAAATACCATCACTACTTGCTTTGTTTTGGATGGACCATTCTTAATGTCCTTATTGTGTTCTGCTGTTATTTTCTATATCTTTTATAGTTTGCACTCTTCTTAGTATCAAGTACTTTGAGCAATTTTTTCTTTTAGATAATTTGGCAGGATTACTAAAATAAATGAGCAGAAGTAAAACAACAATATTGTATTCTTATGGCGTATACAGCTATTTGCATAATATTTTCTGCAAACATATGTAATTTCTTTAGCTAAAGTTATTTTTATTCATAGAATATATTTCTTATTGTACAAAATAGCTACAGTCGTCGCCATTAATCTACGTTGGCAAACTTGCAACATTTTCCACTTCCTACAAAAGTTACCTCCATGCACCATCAAAATTCATTTTGAATGTTTCTCTAATCGACTACATGCATTTTGTAGTTCATAAATATTTGCGAACTTTAAATTAATTTCTTATATTAGCACATGGATATAAGGTTTACTCATTATTAGTTCATAATTCAAACTGATAACCTACTATTTTCTTCATAGGGTTTTAGAAAAGAAGCATGAAATATTTTCAAATTTTATGATTCATTACTAACCTCTTAAATGCTAGGTATATGTAAAAGTATTTTTGTAAAAGTGGATCCATGTGAAGAAGAACAGGGAAAAATTATTAATATAAAATAAATGAAGAATTCTGCAGAAAAGGAAGTCAAATCTAATAGTTTAGCTCAAATGGACCCGTTGGGCATGATAATAACAGTCAGATGAGTTTATGATTAGTCATGGTGAATATTATAGTGTATGCAAATAGCCGTGACTTATAGTCGAACAATTGTTTGAGTCTGAAGAGGAACTTATAATTTCTCTAACGAAAAACAATCCTTATTTATGATGAAAAAATCATGGATTATTTGTTAACACTTAACAACAACTGCAGATTTAATGATGTGGATCATCAAGTTTTAGGAATGGATGAACAAAGAGAAGTTCAAGACAGACTTAGAGTAAGTATTCATGGCTACTTCCCGCTGTCCAAAATGCTCCTACGGTCTTATAGATGCTTTTGTGGAACAATTTTGGATGAAGGAATAAATAAGGTAGAATAGAATTAGCATTTTCTTCCGCAAGAAAAATGAATAAATTTTACTTTTTGCATTCCCGCAGAATCAGATAAGATGTGACTATGTCTCCCTCTATACTAGGTTAGAAAGAGACAGGATGTCGGAAATCCTGTTATTGTTTCTCGAGTTGCATTTTATGGCTACAATATTAAAGACAAGTTTATCCTTTGCACATTACTCTATGGTTTGCATTAGGTTATGAGATGGAATGAATATTTTTTGTACAACTAACAATAAAATTAAAAAGTAATGATAGGGAGAAGTTAATTATGTTAATTTTCTTTCTGTTATTTCCCTCCATAACTAACAATATTTTTCAAGAAAAAATCCCAGCAAGGCAAAAATATTTTCAAGAGAGTCTTGATAGCCAGGACAATTTAGAATTTTAGAAGTGTACGGAGAAGTTAATTTCGTTAAACACATGATACAACCACAAATTATCAAGTGACTTCATATGTTAATTATTTGTCCTCTTCTTTTCTTCTTTCATTTCCTTTGAAGTTGTCTATTGGTCATTCGTTTTGTTTATTAAGCAGATTACATGTGATATGAACTTTGCTTCGATGAGTGCTTTATTTAGTTTGAGTTGATGATTTAGAATAATTGAATTAGATTTTTTTTGTTGCATGCTTCGAAGTTCACAGTGGCTTCAGTTCAAGCCTTTATAAGATTATTGCATATATATCAAAATCTATGAACATAGAGTTGCCTTCACATCATGTTGGGTGGAAAGAGTTCCAAAGACCACGTATGTTATGTTGTAGGGATTACTGAAGTACATGATTAGTGGTGGTCAATAGTCATTTTCTACTTTTATGATTTGTATGAAATAAATTTGAAAATTGTTGACATAAAGAGTCGTGGAGCCAAAGCGAATATACATATTTGCACGCATTTACACAAAATTTATCTCTTATATCTCAACCAAATTAACTATAAGATCAAATATTATTTTTTAATGACCGCGCGAAACGCGAACATATTGACTAGTTGGGTATATAAAAGATTGTTCATGCTCAGAAAATGCGTCATAAGAATTTGGTCCTAAGTTTCGGGGCCAAACTATATATTCTGCCATTATTTCATTGACATAATAGATCAATTGAAAACCTTTTAAGCATGCAAAGATAATGAATTTAGTTATATTAGTTGTACAATATTTGTAAGTAGACATATTTTGTTATATCTCACCTAACATATTTTATAAGCGATATTGTTGGTACATGTTTTCTTCTATTTTGGCTACTTTATCATGACAAAAAATTTCTTAAATTCTTATTGGTCTAAATCTAAAACCTGTTCTTTACCACGTTACGACAACATAAAGGTTAAGACAACCCTAAACTCATTCTGATTTTCAGGGGGGATTTGTATCTATACCCGTTTTTTGGGTCACGTTTTAATTTATGCTCGCTTTATAAAAATAATTGCAAGCGTACCCACTTTTTCGCATAACTTCAGCATACAGGGCTGAAGTAGCAAAGGAAATCACGTAAAACTTCAGTATTCTAGTAGACAGACCTGAAGTAGCAAAGGCAATATGCTGAAGTTTTTTTGTCCTGAATAAGATGCTGAAGTTATTTAGTTCATTTGTAAAAACTTTAGCACTAAAATAGCTGAAGTTTTTTTTATCCTAGATTCATTGGTTTGTCATAAAGCTTTTTCAAAAACTTCAGCAGAAGATGCTGAAGTTATTTAGTTCATTTGTAAAAACTTCAGCACTAAATAATATTAAGTTTTTTTGTCCTGGATAAGCTTTTTCAAAAACTTCAGCAGAAGATACTGAAGTTACATTTGTAAAAACTTCAGCACTATGTAAGCTGAAGTTTTTGAAAAAGCTTTCTAACATATATTAGATAAATAATCACCTTATTCTTTCATAGTGTATTACTACTATAAAATAATTAGATTGCCAACAATATCTAAATCATAAATTTTGGAAACAATAAACGTGTAAAGAACAGAATTACGTGAAAATATTCATAAATTATTGTCTACTAACTTACGCAATTATTTATAATTTATTTTAAATATTCTGATAAACATACTTATGACAATCATCCCCTGAAATGAAGTTTTATAGCAGCACCAACAACAGCAGCAGAAGAAAGAAGAAGAAGAAGAAGAAGAAGAAGAAGAAGAAGAAGAAGAAGAAGAAGAAGAAGAAGAAGAAGAAGAAAACGAGGGAGGAGAAGGAGGAGGAGAAAGGGGGCTAGGGTTGTTTAAAAAGTGGGTACAAGTTAAAACGTTTAAAAAAATGAGTATAGATTAAATGGGAGCGACCAAATAAGGCGCCCCATGCAATTTTTAAGATTTCCAATCTTGGATGGACTCTGCCAATTTTGAAATTTCAAGGGTTCCTAATGATAAGGATAATTTTTAAAATTATAGAAAAACAAAATGAAAAATTATAGCTGTTTCAAAGTTCCAAATATATTACTTTTTAGTTAAACTTTAAAATATTATTGTAACGAACTGATTGGTCGTTTTTCTTTTTAGGACCCCGTTCCCCCAAATAAGACTTCCCAGGTTTGCTTTAACTAATTTACGACCTGCAGGGATGGTTGGTTCGGGATTTGGAAGAGTTTGGGTTGAAATAGGCACACTTGATTCCCTAAGATTTTTTTAAAAGGATAAGTTTGACTTTGGTCAATATTTTGAGTAAACGGACCTGGACATATGTTTTGACAGTCCCGGGAGGGTCCGTAGGAAAATATGAGTCCTGTGCGTATGCCCGGAATCAAATTCCGAGTTCTCTAGCCCGAGTAATGAATTTTCATTAGAAATTGTTAAACTGAAATTCTAAGGATTTAATGAAAATGAATAATGCTTAATCATATTGGTATCAGGATCGTATGTTGTTTCCGGAGCTCGATACAGGTCCAATATAACGTTTAAGAATTGCCCGTAAAATTTGGTGTCAATCCGAGTAGTATAAGTACGTTTCGGCACGTTAGAAGTGAATTTAAGAACTTGAAGTTCATAAGTTTGATTCAATTGGTTTTAGGGGGTGATTCTTAGATTTAGCGTTGTTTCGGGCATTTTGAGGGTTCGAGTGAGTCCGTTTCATGATTTCAAACTTGTCGGTATGTTCGGACGGGGCCCGGAGGCCCCAAGCGTCAATCGGACGAGGCTCAAGTGAAGTTGGAAAAATTGGCAAGGAGCTAAAGCTCCAGCTATCTGTCATAACCGCACCTGCGGTTGGTCAGCCGCAGGTGCAAGACCGCAGATGCGATCGATTCATCGCAGAAGCAGCCAGGGGAAGGAGCCCAGGAACTGCAGATGCGGCTCCTTCTCCGTAGAAGCGGCCTCGCAGGAGCGGCTCCAATGTCGCAGAAGCGGTCCCAGCCCCCTTGCCCAATTATGTAGATGTGGGCCCTCTCTCGCAGAAGCGAGACCACTGATGCGGTTCCCTAACCGCAGGTGCGGAAATCACTGAAGGCAGTGTCTTTATTTAATATTGGAATGTGTCAATAATGACACATTTCCACCATTGTTTGGGCGATTTGGGAGCTTCCAAAGAAAGATATTCCACCTAGGATCTTGAGGTAAGTTCATCCCACTCATTTCTAGTTTAATACTTGAGTCTTGGGTAGATTAACACACAAAGATTAAGGAAAAATCATGGGGCTAAAGCAAAACCTAAGGTTTTGATAAAAGTTAGATTTAACCACGAAATCTTTTATGAAATTAAGTAGAAATCGTATATTATTGATCCTTAGGTTATAAAGAATAACTTTCTTCAGAAAATTTCGGAATCCTGGCGTGTGGGCCCGAGGCCGGATTTTAGGAAACTTGTGATTTGGGTTGGGAAATTACTTTAATAGTTAGAATGCGAACTTGTGAGCTTGTATTGACTAGTTCCTACCTCGTTTAATTAGTTTTAGATCGTCCGTCTCCGAATTGAGACTTTAAGCACGTTCTTGGTGTTGGAATTACGCTTCAGAGCGAGGTAAGTCTCCTTTCTAACCTTGTAAGAGGGAATTGTCCCCATATGTGTAATAATTGAATAAATTACCACTAAATGCGGGGGCTACGTACGCACTAGGTGATGAGAGTCCGTACGTAGCTACTACTGTGTTAATTGTCCGGGTAGTTTAGGACCCGTATCATGCCATATTTTTGAATGTTGTTATATCCTTTCATGCTAATGAGATCACTTAAGATATGCTAGAGACTTGGAAATGAACATATGTGAACATATGCACTTGCTTGAACACTTGTATGAATTTATTTGAACATAAATGCACCTTTGTGTACTTACTTGATGATAATTGATATTTGTGGATCGGGCCGATCGTCTCGGTAGAAATAGATGCATCTATGACGCCATTCGACCCTTTGACACTGCACAACTTCTTTCTATTGGATTGGGCCGTACGACCTCGGCATAACGTGTGCATGATATTTATGTGAAATTTTATTCATGACTTACTTTGTTAAATGCTTTGAAATATAAATGGCTAACTGTGATACTATCTAGGCATGACTTATCACTTCTTGCTATAAATTGATATTATCTGTGACATCCATGCTTAGCATAAAACTTTATTATATTATTTGACCCTAGTAAGTATCAAGTCGACCTCTCGTCTCTACTTCTTCGAGATTAGACGAGATACTTACTGGGTACATATTGTTTATGTACTCATACTATGCTTCTGTACTTAATTGTACATGATCTAAGGCAGGTACATCGGGCTACTGATCGGAGCCAACCCTACACCACTACGAAGTGGTGAGAGCGGTCGAAGCAGCTTTTACCCGAGATGGTCGGAATCGCATCCATAGGGAGCTAGAAGTGGGAATTGGATTCCTATCTAAGCTAGAGATGCGTAGTGCTCTTAATTACTCTTCCAATCATCTTTTGGATCGATATTACTTCTAATATTTATGCTAATGATAAGCTAAATTAAACTAAGAATGATTGCTTGTTGGGTGTTCTAAATAGTTAAAGAGGCACTAGAGAAGTGACTTTCTCCTAGGTGAATACTTGACGGGATCTAAAGCCTAAGGCAAAGACGTTATGTTGGGATTGTGATATAACTAATGCACGAAATTACTCACTCTATACCTCTCGGTAGCTTGAGTGACTTTGCTCTAATTGATTTTCTTAAGACCAATTGGGTGTCAAAATCGTGCAAGCAATATAGGCTCAAGTCGGGTATTAC